GGATAAGATTAGCCACCCCGGTATATCTATTACCATAAATGTAACATCAGTTGCTGTTTATACAATTCTCTGCTGACAGTTTTTAATGTTACCCGTGAAATTCAACTATAATGACATTTCAGAAAACTACCCAACTGTTCAAAACAAAACATTTGTGAAAACAAGATGAAATGGCATGAAACTGAAAGACAGCGGTGGGTCTTAACTAACATTTTTCCATCTTACTGGAAAGCTTTAGCGTGAATAAAGCACACTCTGCATGCTTACTAAAATTTGCTGCGAGCCACCAGCTAATGCTTGGAAGGTAGGGCTGTCACTATCGATTATATTAATAATTGAGTAATCTTCCAATTAATAAGATGATTTGAGTAATTGTTTATATAATATATAAATTGCAATTGCCGCAAGGCAGGAACCAACCACACATTGCAGGGTGCGCACTCAGTCACACATACGTCAGGGACTCCAATTCACTTAAGTTCAATGTTTTTGGACAGTATAAGGAAATCAGAGGATCCACCGAAAAGCCACACATACACAAGGTGAACACACAAGTCCACATATGCAAAGCAGCAGTGTGCAGTGATAGCGCCACGCACTGCGCCACTAGGCTTGGCCTATGCTTGATCTCAATAGTCGACAAGACATGCCATGCTCATGCAATGGTCACATCACAAGCACTGCGACAATCTGCTGGGTTCAAACCATCAATAAACTGCAGTAAAATATTTTTATTGAGTCTTAGGAAACCAAACAAGCTTTGCAATTTTAAGAATGGTTCCTTTTCAACATTGTCTAGTGTAGGTTTAAAAAATAAACCTAAAGTTTATCACCGCTGCTTTTGTATGCAATCTCCAAGACAGCCATAATCATTCTCTTGCATTATTGGGTGAGTCCATCAAACCTGAATGCTCTTTTAAGATGTATTTGAATTGCAGTCGTGCTGTGGTGATATTGAAGTTCTGCTTTGCTATACGGACAGAGGACTGTCTTTTCATTCACTTTTAATGCGAAGTTCTTACTCACAAATGATGCTTTCGCTGTCTCTTAATTTGGACTCTCATCCTGTATGCGACATCGTCCTTCCACCATATTACAGAGCAATTGCGAAGGAAGATTTAAATCAATGCTTTTAAATAATCAAGCAATGAAGGTTAATCGAGTAACCGTGACAGCTTTAATTACAATGTAACACTTTTTCCCAATAGAATCACAATAGCGATCTTTCAGGGAACGCTGACTACCCCCTTAACACTAGAACCACCTTTTAGCGCCAATGAACAAGCAAGAACTACTTTGGTGTATGCAGCCCTTTTGTTCGCACTACTGTGTTATTAGTAGAGATGGGCGATCCACGTTTTTTCAGTTCCGATCCGATTCCGATACACAACTGCCGATACCGATACAAGAGCTCTTTTTACTTTGTTATACTTTACATATTATTTTTTTTAAGCTAGTAAATACAGATGGAAAAAATGTATGACAAAAAATATTTAATTAGGCTACTACAAACATACATAACGTACTGTTCCACCTAATTTGTTTTAAGCGTTTTTGAGGCATTTGCAGTTCAATATGAATATCTTCAAAGCAAATATACACAAGTGACGAATGCTTAAAATTAACAGTTTTTCTTCCATTGTCATCAGCGCAGTTACACTTTTGTTGCGATGGCAGCCCCTCTTGTATCATCACAAGCAACGAGTTCGCAAAACAGTCCAATTAAGTTAGCGACTCCCAAATCATCCATTGCTTTGTTTTGTCTCGCAGTTGCGTGCGCTTTGCTAAATGGGATTTTCCATTAAACGCTATTCCCACCTCAAAACCTTATTTTACATAGATTGCAAAACGCTGTGCTTCCGGTTTCTGTTAAAAGCCTAAAATACTCCCAGATCGTCACGTCTTATCTTACGCTTCTCGTACTGCGAAGGGCATGCGCATGACGTCACAGCAGGCGGAAGTCACTGTACTCACACCCACTGACTAGCAAAAAAGACTTAGGGGCAGTGATAGCGTTCGATTTGAATTCCGCAAAAACACACATGTAAAATGGGAAAGAGCTGTCGTGCGATTGATTGCCAAAAACTAAATAAGTAAGTATAGGACGTGGATCGGTCACGCATGGCCGATTCCCGATCCGTCAAATAGGTCTGGATCGGCGCCGATACCGATCCGAATATCGGTATCGGTGCATCTCTAGTTATTAGTGTTAACAGCAGCAAATCTAATACTCTCAACCAAAAAGCCGCAATGTTCATAACAGAGTGGCTGTTCTGAAATCTGGAAAATTTTCAAACATAGTATGCATTTTTATAAAATGTCGAATAAATAGACAGTTTGTTGGTGATTTCATGTTGGTCGAAGTTTCCGCTTTTTAACAACTGTATAAGGTTATTTTTTATACAAATCAATTCAGGGAAAACAAGAAAATGTATGTGTTCAGGATTGCAAACTTTCACGAGTTTGGGTAACACACTTTCAGACTCTCACGCAAGAAATCTTATGGCAAATCTACATTATTCCACTATGAACTTAGAATTAGCTGGGCAAATGCTAGGGCAGTCTGCAAACCCTACGGACTATATACATGGTATATAAAGCTCTTACATACACGTAAATGTGCAGACTCGTCTCAAACAGAAAGCCTCACTCAAGGCAGTTGACCAAAGTTGGCAAAAACCCTGCATTTTATTTGAAATGAGAAGTAAAAAGCAGTTTTTCACTGAAGCGGCTTATCATTCCATTGCCTTGTTCATATAAAATGAATGAGAAAACATATGCGTCACTTTTTAAATCTTTTCTAAATAATACCGTGCCCATACTCAACTGTAATAGCGATTAAAGCAATCTGTTCTTTTAGTATTTATGTTAAAGCAAGGCTTTTATTTTATTACTGTTGTGGGATTAAGATTAATTTCACAAGATTAATCTATGGAAATCAATACTTAAATCAATGAGCACAAAAACATATGACATAAACGACTGTATTATGGGTTTCATGGCTTTTCAGGGGGTCACAGACTCCGCTGCTGTGGGGATTACTGACGGTCTCATTGTTGTTTTGATGGGTTATGCTAATGAAGTTGCCCATTAACAAAAAAGTGTGTGATACGCTGAAGTATGTCAGTGCTGGTGGTTAAAAGGTCATCGCCAGTTTTATTGATGATAGGACCTTTCTGAAACGATCTCGGACCATGAAGTAGGAAGGCAATTCACTTATATCTTAGTAGCGGAATCAGTATTTTTTCTGCACCGCAAATGCAATATTTTCCTTGGGTTTCAAGTATTTGCTGTTTGTGGGCATATACTCCATTGTCTCGGGCCACTTCTGATTGGTGAACATGACTGTCACACAGGAAACACAACATGAATTTGGAAGACTATTCTCACAAGAGTTTTAAACCCTGCTGTAAAATGCATGTCAAATCGCAGCCTTTGCGATTTGCTAATCGCTTTGTCTCAAATTGCGATTTCAATTTGAAATCGAAAAGTCATTCAGCCCTAGTACAGATATATCAGATTTAATTGCTCATGAAGATAAAAGCTCACATTTTTAAGATAAGCCAAACTCATGATTGTGATCTAATACAAATTATAGCTACTGCAGTTTCAAAAAGTCAGCAGAAATGAAAAACCACAAAAGCATGCAAAGAAGCTTGGAATTCCCCAATCTGCCATAGGAACATAGGCTCCAAATTAAAATACTCTAAAAGTTAACTAGTAGATTTAGAAAGAGTAAAGTATGATATGATTGGAACCATAGGTCTATTTCAACATCATCTTTCAGCAACAGGAAAGGAACTGACTAGGTGCAGAGCAAGACAACCACTCATTTACTGAAGTTTATTTACTCAGCTTAAAATACACCCTAGTTCACTTGCATTTGCAATTTTAGTCACCATAAAATATCATTTATTCGTATTAACCGCAGAAAGTCAATTCTAAATCTCCTGCAACTGGGAAAGTGGGTGTCTTTCTTAGAGGTCAGCCTATCGGCACATGACACAAAGAGGATGTGGATGGGAAACAAGTGTGGGAATGAGCAGAAAACATACTATAAAAGGCACAACATTCATAGAAAGCCTTTTACAAGCTTTTTATAATGCCCTGCAAAGCGGATCCACTGCTCTCATTAAGATACATAATGCACACACTGATTACTCTTTGACAATCACATGATTGACACCAAAGTGAAGATGCAAGGAACAAAAGTTAACTTTTTAGCACTGCAGTGAAGGGAACTAAATATCTGTAAATGTTACACATTGATATTTTTAACAGAAATATGAGGCTGAGCTGTGAACACACTATGAAAATTGAAGAATAAAAGTTTATTCTGTCAAAAAGGTTTGTTATGTCAATAAATGTGCAAAAGTAGATCCCAACCAATCCTAGTTCGAATGCATGTGACAAATAAACCTTGACTTTGAAAATCTATGCAGCAGGCCTGAAAGTGAAACTTCAAGTGTTTAAAGGAACTGTAAAAGTAGAAACATCTGGACCAAACTAGTGGTCCATATTACTTGGAGTTACTGCTTCCGCAAAAAAGCCATATGAACAGGGAGAGGCAGACAGAAAACAGACAAATAAACCAATACAATGAATATAAAAGCAGGTCATACAATGGAGACACTCAGTACCTGAGATGTTTCAGATACTAAAGATATCTTTACGCAGATCTTGACTGAGAATTGCATAACTCAGTACTATGAATGTCCAGTCCAGGCAGAAGCTACCACTACCAAGCACTGTCCGGTCCGGCATACATGCTAAACTCACAGCAAGTCCAGCAGTGTCTTCAGATAACACAAAATATGTACATAATATGTTGTATGTTGAAACAGGTCAGCTTCACTTCAAGAGAATGTAGACCAGATTTTAAAGGTGAAGTTACAGACAGGTATGGAATGTGTTATAGATGTTTTAAACATTGCACATAGAATAACAAGACTTCAGAGTGAAACTGTAGTTGTTCTAATGGCATGCGCACTTAAACATACCTGTCTAGAGTAGAGGCTGGGGGGCGGATACTCATGAATGCTGGTTGCAGGTCTTATCCGCTGGTTCTGATCCACCAACTGAGCTGCTCCTCAGAAATTGACTATGATCTCTGGAATAATTTTCATCCTCTCCTTGCTTTTGACACTTCTCCACCTCTTTACCCTTAACGAGCTCTTCTTTCAATAAATGCTTCTCCCTTAAAAAAGTCCTGGGAATTCGTGTCAACTCCGCTGGAGTGTGAAGCGCTTTATATTGAACCAGGAAACAGACTGTGGCGTTTCTCGTGTTTTCATTTGTAGGACCAAGAATCTTTATATATTAGTTAAAAAAGGTTTTAAAAGAATATCCTAGCTTCAATTCAGAAAATAAATGTAATTAATGCCCCCATAAAAACCCGTTTGTTTAAATGACTCCATAGTTAAAGAATGACAAAGTAAAATAAACAACTCTATGAAATGCTGGTAATTATAAAAAAAAAAAAAAAGATTAGCTTCCAGTCAAAATGTTCACGCACTAAGCCAGCACTCCATTGATCAACTGCTAAGATATCAATGGGAACAGGTTTCCACACATATTTCCTTGTCCACAAAGCCGAAGCTCGGAAATGGCATTTTATTCAGATTCTGCATTTCCTACTCTACAACACTGGCCCTGTAAATGTACGGCAAGTATAATGTCCCAACACGGAATTTAAACGCTTCTTTAGCTGAAGAGGGACGCGCCCGGTCGGCTTCCCCAGAAGTCCACGCAGAACCGCAAGTTGCCGAGCCTCCACTTTCGCCAACACTCCGGTGCCCGGGTCCGGGTGCCGCGGCCGGGCTACAGCGCCGCTTCAGCCGCAGCCCTTTGTCTCTACATGCGCGCAGCGCTCCGCACTAACGCTACCAGACACCTTGCGGTTTTGTTTTGGGCTCCTCGTCGTTTTTGTTTTCCTGCAAGCACCGCGACTTCGGTGCCTCACACAAGCTACATCTTACTTTATCCCGGACTTATAATTTGCAGATACCAGAGAAAACTGTACATCGAGCCGCCACTTTAACGTTATTAATGCTGTTATTACGTGACGCTGTTAAATCGCTTACTCAAGCACCATAAGGATTTCGGCCATGGCCGAATTCAAGCAAACATCCGCGAGCCGCTTTGTCCTTGTACTCCCTACTCTACTTTCGCTTTATTTTTTTAAATACAATAAAAAATATTATGTCGTTGAGTGAAGCACCCTCTTGATTGTACGAAGTGTGCCGAGGTCCGATGCTGGATGTCAGCAGCCGTACTAGCAGGTGTAAGCGCACATTAACCACAGCCCAAAGACCCGCCGAGTTAAAGCTCACATTCTCTGCGGCGTTACAAGCGCGGCTTCCCGCGAGCTTAAACTCTAAACTAACCCGCGATGCTGTACAACTCGCGCTTAACACACCAGCTCCGGCACTACCTGGACTCGATATAAAGTACTGGCTGAATTAGTAAGTTATTAGCTAGCAGCCTGCCGTACAATCGATGGACCGGTGGTAGATTACGCTGCCTGGAAAAGTGCGTGGTTCTGTGTGGTTTTAAGAATACATGGAAGAAACCCCCATATGCGATTTTTGTGTCGGAAGCTACTTCGTCTGTAGATCCATGGAATTTCCAGGCCGGAAAGCAAGCACCGCTCTTGCCTGGCGACGCCTAAGGGACACCGACTGTTGTCTTGGGCTTCTGGGATCAGCTTCGGCGTCGGGATCCGTCCGGGCGCCGCCTCGGTCCGGCAGTATTCCACACGAGCAACTCTTGTACGGAATTTTTACCGAAATGTCGGGTACATACACGAGAAAGCAAAAGTGGCCGAAGGGCTGAACACTTTCTCCGCCTTCATGGTGGGCCGGGGAGGTACTTCGGTAGGTTCAAGCGGCGGCTCTCATTTCGACACAGATCACAGTCCGAGTGGTAATCAGACCGGCGCATCCCGCGATGGTAGATTCAGCATTTGTAAGTGCTGCTTCCCCTTCTTTGTTCTTTCTTTTATAACATATGATTCCTGTTTTCTGGTACAGTTTATTTGTCTGTCTGATTAATCCCTATTACATTCCCTACGGCCAACTGGTACACAGACGCTCCGCGGCTAACTAGGATCCGGCACTAACCAATCAGACCCGGTCTAAACCCCGTGTTTCATTCTCTTGAATGGTCAACGGCTGCCTCTTCACTGTCAGTCGCCTTTATTATATGGCAGCATTATATAATAAACCTTTATTCGTACCTGACAGCTCCATGTTGTGTTTTTGCTTTGCGCAAATCGCTTTCTGAGATTCCAGACTCACCTCAAGGATACAGGTGATGAGCGTCCATAATTCACATTTACGTTGCTGGTTTGGCAGAGACTTTCGTCTAAATGAATTCAGAGTTGTGACATTAGTAATTTATTTAGCAGATTTTAACTGTGCTTTTTCTTTAAAAAAAATCTGGGGATTCCGTAGACTTTCACCCCGAGGGGCTGAATATTTCCCCCCACTATGTGTCCCACTCAGGTTATTCCCATTTCTTGTGTCCCCTGTAATTCACTGGATATGGCATAATTAAAAAAATTATAATACATGTTTTGCCCACAAATACCCAAGGCATTATACACAAGTGTCTCACAGAACTGGTGATTATTACAGAGTGCATGTTATGTTGACTCCATTGTCAGAGGACAGTTCCAATTTGTACCTTTGAGGGTACAATTATTTGTCACTGGGGCTGTACCCTCAGGGATGTACCCTTAGCTGTAGGTAAATGTACTTTTAGTCTAATTTTAAGGTACAGAAATGGACTGTGGGGAACATTTTTGTAAAATTGGGGGTATATTAATGTTTACCATTGGGAGCAATTACATAAATTACATAAAAAGGATTTCATATAATATTATCGTGTTAGCATATGTCAAAATAACATTCCATTAACCTTATAGTAAGAACAATTTCTGCACCTTTGAGAACACCTTTAAGTAATGTTACTTAAAGTTATGGTAACCTTCCCTATTAGCTGGGTTGATCTTAACTCTCTTCCCTCTCTGGTCAAAAGTATTTGCTAAACAAATAAATGTAAAATGCTTAGCCAGTTGTTTTAAAATTACATATAAATAATATTTGAATGGTATTTAATCATTTCAGAATTAAGAGGTCCACAGTATAGAATGCTGTACAGGAAAAAAATAAAATATAATATATAAATTTAATATATAATACAATGGAATGTATACACTACACAAATGTATACACAACACGTTGTATTACAGTTCAGTAATGTTCAGTATGATTAATTATTCAGTATTTGACATTCAGTATGATTAATTATTCAGTATTTGATAATCTGATCCATTTGGGGTTGCAAGTTAAATACTAGACAAAGTAGTACGTATAATTACACAAAAATCTTTGTTGTTGTTGTTTTTTTTTTGGCAGTGAAGTATTCAGTATTGGGGTACCAAGTAGATAATAATAATGGTAATAATAGGACAAAAAAAAAAATATGTATATATAAGTAAACATTAATACACATATTAATAAACATGCACAAAAGATACGAGGAAAGGACGAAATAAAAGAGCAAAAAAAAAAGGGGGAGACATAAGGAGTAGGGGAAGTTGTTTGTTGTTGTTGTTGTTGTTGTTTCAGTTTCATTTCATCTAGATGTGTTACTTATTGAACTGTAGTACAGTTATAATGAAACTACAGGTGGGTGATCTTTGTTATCCACCATTCCATACCTTTTTCTGTTCATTCTGACGTATTTCCTCTTCTCCACCCTGCCTCTTTCCTGTGGCTGAATGCATAGAAAAAGGTAAGACTGACACGAGGTGCTCTCACAGAAATATTCAATAATATGGCTATTATCTATTAAACATATAATGTCATTAACATGTAAATACACCATGAAACTATGAACATACATATATTACACATTCTGGTAATGTTCCCTACTATTTCCACTTGGATCATTACTGAAAAGTCACATGGATTATTTGGCTAACGCTGCAGGAGTTTAGGAGGTTCTGTTTGCCACACTAGCTTCACTCGATTAGAGGACAATAAAGTTTTGTTTCAATGAACCATGGGTCTTGCCCTTATTTTGCACAAAATAGTATGGTATGAAAAATGGCAAAATCACTATGTTTACATAAACATGAAAGATGTTTTAAACATTGTACTAAACATTGCTCTTGTACTGTGATTTTTTTCTACCTTAATCATAATGAGAAATGCCCGATATATCAGGTTATGTCTGGCCTCACATCTTCAATGAAGGATTTATTCTAAATGAAATTTCAGTAGTCACATTTCAATAGTTGTCTTTTTTTATTTTATAGTAGAGCATTGGAAACACTAGAAAAAGCAGATCAAATAAGGATGGATTGTAGTATAGGGAAAATGTATGCTCTATAGTTATAATTAAATATATACTTAAAGCCAGGCTGACTTTTCATATCTGTGTTTTGCATCAGCAGGTTAAGTAAAACACTAAGTCTATCCAAGACATTTATACATGTGTTCAAACAATAAGCTACTTAAACTCTAAATACTATGAAAACTTTTCATATTTCATTAATGATGGTAAGGCTAATTAACATCATTCTCTGTACAAGTCGGGATAATATTACACCTATAATGGTGCCCCCTAATGTCCTGTTTACATTCTTACAGTATCTTATTCTTTAATTTCTGGTTCAATGACACCATTCTACCTGCTCTAATTAGAAGTCCAAAAACAGACCTCAATGGTAAAAATGTTGAAAATCTAGGATAAAGCTTCTTAAGTAAAATTGTCTCTTCTACTGATGCTTCCCCATTTGTTCTTTATGGGACTAGTTTAATTGTAGATTGTATGTCTTCTTCTGCAGCTTAAAGCATATAATTAGTGTAGCAACTACTGTCATTCTCTTCCACAGTTCTCTGTTTGCAGAGACACTTCCTGGGATATAAGATGAATTGCACAGATCACATTCCTTTATGTATCATAGCAGTTCCACAATCTTCTCTATCGTCTCTATTAACAATTGCACTCATGCTGTGTTTCTCCAATGCTTGTCCTGTTCATTGCTATTTCAGGTATCAATAACATGAAACCAGTTTCCACACTTTTTCACAAATTTTCTCAGTTGTTCATTTTTACAGACAAATCATTCAATGGTTATGACATCATCAAGCTGATCTCCATGGGTGAAAAGGACAGCAGCACGCTTGAAGGTCTCTTCTCCAAACTCAAATCAAAGAATCAAATTCTGTTCATGTTCTTGTACTGAACTGAATTTTTCTACCTTCACCACAGTGTGAAATGTGCGATACATCGGGTTATGTCTGGCTTCACATCTTTAGTGAAGAACGGAAGATTATGAAATCCTGGAGTGTCAACCACTGTCATGGTTTTTCGTCTGATCTTGTTACATTTAGATAAACTTGTGTATGTGAGCTGCTTTCATTGGCTTAAAGCTTCTTCCCTTCACCCAGGATGGTGTGTTACTGCTCTTTCCTGTTACATTTTTTTCCCAGCAGCATAATCTCTAGTTCTTTAGAGTTGAACATAGTTTTAAAACCTCAGCATACATGAAAATTACAACCCTCCCCCCCAGAACTCCACGGTCCTGCTTTAAGAATACAGTGTCTACAACATGGCCCAGCTCATTCCACAAATGCAAAGCATAGTATGGAAAGAAAAGTATGGAAAATTTTGAAATAAACTTCAGCTTCATTTAATAAAAGACAGTGACCTGACTTTGCTGACAGGTGGCACTGTAACATCACAGCTCACCGACTGAAGTATATTTATACAGTGCACACAAAGAAGCACTGGTCGATCTTTATTCCTTTAGTAATACTTGCATTTACTATGCTGTTCATACCTAATGGAGTCAATTCGAGTCCTACTTTAATTATTAAATTAAAGTTTCTGCTGCCCTGCACCAGCTGTCCCCCAAACAGGGGTGGTGGGTATCTACTGAACTGCTCCGTTATATGACACATAATGGGAAGGCAATACAAATACAGTGACATATGAAAAAAGCTTCATTTTAGCACATTAAATACTGCTTTTTAGGCAAGGCCGCATAAATATTTATTTTCAATCTTTGAAAAGCATGTGACAATTTTGTGTTTGCAGAGGCATTTCCTGAGATATAAAAGTACTCACATCCTAAAGTGTGAGGCATCCTGCCTCCTGTGTCCTCCAACCCTAGAGGATAGTCACTCTATAACAACTTTAAGCTCCTAGTGCACCTAGACAGCTAATCATCACCTGCTCTGGGTCACAAAACCCCAGCAACAGAATAAAAAAGCCACTACCGGACCTTCCCTAAAACTATATTTCCAGCATAAAATGGAGCTAATGTCAAACTGAAGGATTAAATTGGATAAATGGAATAAATGCCAAAAATGAATCCAATCTAACCTTACTAACATAAGAACCACTTCCTAAAACACTGAACTTCTTGAAGATTTTGTTCTGGAACTGCTAGATTGCCACTAAGCAATACAACACATTTTTTTCTTCTCTCACAATGGTTAAGAACTAGAAAGTGTTCTTTATGGTGCTGTTGATTAGCAACATGCCATTCACTTCACGTTTTCTCCCCGTTCGATTCATCTGCTGATGCTGACCAGTGCAGACAGGATGCAGTAAAAATGAATGCATTCATATTAAAACTGCTATCTAATCTCTGAGTAGTCTGTTTTGTTCACAAATTTAGATTAGGACACTTTGTCCCCAACCCCGACACAATGTTGACGTGTCAGACAAGACAGCCCAACAACATCGAGTTTTTAAAAATTGATGGTGAATGTCATCAGAGCCTTACCACTGAAGGAATTTTTGACTAGTTCAGTCCTAGGTAAGTGTTATTTTGAGTCTTTCACCCGTACTTCCTGCAAAGGAAGGCATTGCTGCTTCACGCTTAGGTACATGCTATCACCAATATCTTCATCACAAATTAAATTTGATATATGAAGATTCCTTTAAAATGAATAACAGATGCCTACATTTTTGGATATGGGAACGAGTCAAACTTCGTCTGAATGTCACAGCCTCAGCATGGAATGGCAGAAACCACCAGAGGGTGCTAGAGAGCAGCAAGAAGAAGTATAATTTAATCAGAATCAGGAACCTTTTATTACCCCAGAGGAACATTACACATCCACACAACAAAACAAAACAGATAATACATAGTACCACATAGAACAGTCCCTATATTAAAATAAATAAGTATGATAGAGTTGATGAATAACTGAGTGAATATGGTAAATACGGTACTAGGAGATAGTATATAGGCAGATATTGATTTTATTGCACATATTATTACACAAGTCCTGAGTGAATCATGAATTGTACAAACTGATGGTAGTCAGAAGGTTTGCTTTCTGTGTCTGTGGTGATTTTATTGTTGATCAGTCTGTGTCTGTGGCTCTGTGACACAAGTAAGTGGCATCATCCATGATCGACCGCAGTCTGGGCAGCATCCTCTATAGTGTCCAGCTCCTCTCCTATCACCTACCCAGCCTTCCTCATTTAGGCACCGACCCAATACCCAGTATTGCTATTGCGCCGATACTGGCTAAAAAT